AGAGCTTACGCATTTCTGTAAGTAATGATGTATGATTTCGGAACACACTTGCTATACTAAAAGACCGAGAGGTGTCAAATGAGCATCGAAAATGGCGGCGCCCATGACACCATGCCGTGTCTATCTACAAGACAACGTTTGCACAATTTGTGGATTTTGCTTTGAAATAAGGGATACTTCCTCTTCTGGTAATGTTGTCGTTAACAAGTTTAACAACCTGAAACTAAAATTAACCAATGACAGGCTTCACAATATTCAAACTATCACTGGACCAGACGAAAAAGTGGATTTTGGGCTACGAGGTGTCTGCATTAAATGCTACGGGTCCTGCTTTGTGATTGGTTGAAAGAAAGAGTTATGTCGCGTTTTGATTGGCTTGTTATAAATACAATAATGCATTCATGTTGACCTCTGACGTGACCCTCTATGGGATGTTGTTAGATCTTCAACGCGACATAACAGTAAACGGTAGCGATTGGAAATATAATTTTAATTAGATTGAAACAATTTGCGACGCTAGGAGATGATGATATTGGCCCAAACATACAAATTGTTATAATGTGTTTATAATTATGCAGGGTATAGAATGGGGCCAAACCGAGGCTTGCCAAGCATTTTTAACCCAAATAATGAACCCAAGGATGGGACATATCTGTCCCACATAATTAATATATAGTGCAATTATTTTATTGCATTGCTTACCATTTATTCCCCAGTCATAACAATTGAATGACGTTAATTACATCAACAATCCATAAGGTAATTTAAACATATTTTTATTGTCATACAACATAAATGAACAGATATAAATTATATCAAATTAGCATCACATTTCAATATACAAATTACAAAACAGCAATAGCAAGCATATTTATTAAAACCAAAATGAGGGAGGAAGGACGAAAGAAAGACAATAAAAGAACGAAAATTGATAGAAATTATAAGAGAACAGCTAGCTAGTTGTATGTACTATTTACCTTAATTCTGTCACTCCTTTTAAATTAAGTTTGAAATTTATGGAAAACGTTTTCATTTTCCTCATCAGAAAAATTAGGATATCTACAAACAAGATTACTGAAATATTGCAATAACGAGATATCATCAATAAAAATGTGTCTGTCCACTCTACAGTATAAATCAAACAAGATATATCTTTTAAGAAGATAATTGAAAAAAAATCATATATACAAATAATTGTGTACCTATAACATTGCTTAATGATAACTATCACAATGTACTGTTGTTTTCCGTATATATACAACAATGTCCCCTTAATTTTGTTCTGGGAATAACTGAAGGACATTTCGACCAGAACACTTCCATTGACCGGGTAGCTCAGTCGGTAAGAGCGATAGTTCGACAACCTATATAGCCCAGGGTTCGAATCCCGGTCTAGCCCCGTATAGTGTTTTACATTCGGAACACTGTCCCGCAAGATACAGTTTTTTCTTTTTCAGAAAAACAGTTTCAAATGTGTAGCTACAGTTTTTGTTGGCAACGGTACGGAGAACTAGTCTCGTTCACCCAGAATCTTGTTGTCTGCGCAAGCTACGCCGAACAGAGAAAGTGTCTGGTTGAACGAGACTACTAATGAACGGGCATTGAAGAAATTATCAATTAAACCATGCTTGTCGTTCAACGGGAGGTAACTCGAAACTTTCCAAACCTACGTGTGTATTAAGCCCTTTACCTGAAAGGTTCCGATATCATTTGTGTGTATTATGTGTGTATCAAGATTGTGTGTTCAAGCCCTATGTCTTGTGCCAGTAATAAATTAATAAGAAAATCATTTTGTGAATGTTATGTAAGATTTATTTAAAGAACTTAGATCAGCCGAATACTGTTCAATGTATATATATATATATGGTTTGTTGACTGTGTACATGCTTAAAGCGAGTTACAAGACAAGACAACAAAGTTATTGGTCGATAATTTGACATCAATCGGTGGTTTTTCTCCGGGTACTCCAGCTTTCCTCCACCACCAAAACACGACACGTCCTTACATAAATGACAATTGCTGTTAATAGGACGTAAGACACTAATAAACCACACCAAACCTTAAATTATCAAAGCTGTATATAAAACACAAACTAACTAAACCAATAGCAGATTTTTTGGAATTATTTTGAGTTTATTAACATATTGTAAAGACGTGCAAAAGTTTAGACATAGAAATTGTTGTCCAGTTAAACTTGTGATAATTTATAGGTAAGGTAAGATTTTTTCCTAATTTGAGAAATTTTAAAACATGTCTCATTTCAACGCCACACAAAAGAATAAAATACAAAATCAACTATTGATACAAAAATAGGTAATGACCTTTTCTCACGAACCTCGAGGTATCCTCGAAACTCCAGGGGTTACGCTCACTTACATTCTCTGCATCATTTGCAATAAAGTTTCAAGTTCAAGTTTTTTATTTACTAAATGCATTGCAGTATATAGGTTATACAATTACGTAACACATGATTCATATTAAAAAGTACAATATACAAGATGGCGGAGGATAATTCCTTATTCACATTTAACATATTAATTTACTGCCCTATCTGAACTTTACTTTTGGCTGTTGCTTGCAATACATATTTGCCCAGCTTACTTATAGTTTTGTAATTTTTATATGAGAATAATTCAACTTATAAACACATGGATGTCGATGATAATATTGTTTTAAATATGTATTTTTTAATTCAGAATAATGTCATCTTCTGCATCATTATTGTAACGAACAGTACATATTCTTTGGTCTCTTGGGACGGCATTGTAACGTCCTGACTCAATATTAAGACAGTGTGCTTGCATACGATATCAACTCAGTAATTGGTTGATGCTAGAATTAAGGGGTGTTGTTAATGGTTCAAACCAATTCTACATAAATTAGTTTTAACTTGATATTCCAGTTAAAGTGGCTCCACACATCGTCATCAGCGTCCATTTTTTGTGACGTACTTCCGGAAAAAGTACAGCTCGGACTCAATTATCTTGATCGCAATGTGCATGTACACCGTGTCGTCATTTCCGTATTGCGTATCGGGCATCCAATATCGTAGTCCAAATTATAGTAACACAGGGCCGTTTTCGTTTAAATGGTCAAACCGATCGGACCACTGTTGTTCGTTTATTAAATAAGGTCGGACCTAGTAATCTGATGCTGCTTTCAGGCGAACCTTGAGAAAGCCTTGCAAGGCATGCATACACATTTAAAGGTCCGCCAGGATTTATACCCGAAATTGTTACATTTATAAACGGTCAAACCGGTTGTTCCGCATAAATGAACAGGCCTCTGGTAAACAATAAGTAAACGTGCGTGCCGATGATATGTCAACACCCGATATCGAGATTTTACCAGGAAATGAATAATCACAAGTACTTTCCAATTCATAGACATAAACAGTCTCACGGGAAGACGGTGAGAAACACATGGAATGCGGAAGTACCGACCTCACATGTGCATATCACGTGCTAACACGTGTTCATAAGCTCAAACAAATTTCAATGAGACTGAGTCAAATGCTGTCTCAAAATCTACCATTAATGACATACATGGAATATATCTTTCTCCCTTTCCCCCCTATATAACGGCCTGAAAGAAATCCTGTTTGACTTCACTGATTAATTTATCCAAAACTGTTCTAATTCTACCTGCTATCGATCCGGACGCTATTTTATAGACTATATTCAATAATGTTATGGGTCCCCAATTTTTTTTTTATAAACTGCCTAGGTTTATCGCCCTTGGGGATACATGTACATAATATTGCTGACGGTTCTTACCCTTTCCTTTTCACCTTAATTTCAAAATTATTATTTATAAGAATAGATACCCCCTGGCATTGGACTTGAAGAAATTAAAATAACAGTCGAACCCCAATTCGTTTCTGATAATGCTTTGGCTCTTTCAGTAAAATGTGTGTCCTGAAGACAATAAATACAGTAATGTTTCGATTTTAGGTATGATAAAACGTCCATTCTTTTAGTTTTGTCCCGAGACCCTGACAATTAGCAGAAAGAAAAGGTATACCCTCCATCATGTTACCCACTTACCATAAATATGTATGCATAAACTAGCCCAGATAAGAAAAGGAGAAGTAGCGAGATATAGCACAGCAGAAGAAAAAGGTTAAAAAACATGTCAAAATGGTCAAAAGTCGCAGACAACTGTTAACTCACGCACCTCTCATCCTTCTTTCAAAGTACCATTTCCAAAACCAGTCAGGCGGAAGTGAAAAACAACCGGAAGTAGTACAGTAACATACTAAGCTAGACACTTGATTTTCAGGATTTTGAATAGAATATACTTAGAAAACGATCAGATAGCAGTCCGGAATGCTTCACATTATGAAAAAACAGTTATATGAAATTATTTATATGTATTCCAACGAATATGACATGAAACGTAAACTTTATGATATCAACTACAACAACAAATTGACTCAAAAATTCTTGAAATGACAGTACAGGGAAATAAAAACGTTAATCGTCTTAAGTGCAGCGTAACAATATCATACAAAACTTAACGGAATACATTTTAAAAGGAGTTATCCGCAGCATACCCTCCAAATTCAAAGACGTATCACTGACACATCGTGAACACACTTCAAAACCATACTGATCGGTAGAACCAGAGGAGTCCATCTCTGGCGGCCACACGTATACATGTACGCGAGCCTTTAGTCAGATACCGATCTCGCACTCAAATATAACACTTGTCACACAGTTCCATAAAATCTGTCTCTAAGTTTCTTAAATTGTTGTCATCTGCAAGATACTGATCTGTCAGCTCTGTATTGTATGACAGTCTTCGCTTTTTTCGTTGGTTAAAACTGTGAATAATTGTCCGTCCATGGAAGTATGTTTAACGCTTTTAAGTCTGTACGCTTCATTAAGTGTTTCTTGATTCATTCTTGTCAAATCCTCGAATACGATTTGTCTTTTCCCCTTCAATTAACGTCCCCCCCCCCCAACAAATGTCACTATTTGTTCTACACATTCCTCGACTGTTTCATTCCCCTTTGTACAGCTAAGGCCTACAATCCTGTACACTGGCCCTATATTCATACTGTCTGATTCTCTGGCTCGTTTTTCCAATTTGTCCACTTTCTCTTTCAATATGTCGTTCTTTTTCTCGAGGTCGAAACTTCTTCCTTCGAGCTGATCGACGAGAACACGGATGTTCTTTTTTTGCATAACACAGTTCTTCGAAAACTTCTACGGAAGTTTGTAGAAAGGAAAGCATACACAATTGGGTTGGCGCAACTGTTTATCGTTATCAGAAGGTGCGACAGCATAACCATGTAGGTGTGCCGGGTCGGTGAATCATTTCCAGATGCCATAAGCAGTCTGTAAACATGAATTGGTAGGCAACACACTGCAAAAATGACGGTAACGATGAGCAACATTCTGGTGACGCGTTTCTTCATCCTCATGCTCTTCGTGTTTTGCCCTCCGCGAGGACGGACTCCACAAACGAGCGTCTTGATAACGTTAACGTAAAGCGTACACATGACTGTAAGGGGTATAGCAAAGCAGAAAACAAATAAACAGGCATGGAATCTCAGAGCTGCGACATAATTGCCGTAGAAGATATTTATATCGACACATTTTGATATAGCGTATGTGCCGACTTGGGAATATTCAAATATGACAGGAATGTTGATTGGAAGCGATATAATCCAAGATAGACAGACACAAATATATGCATTACGTTTGTTTATGATCGTCCTGGATTCGATGGGATATACGACGACCAGATATCTGTCCACAGATATCAGCACGAGAGTTATGACGCTCGCAGACACGTTCACGTGCGAGATATAGAACATCGCTTTACACCAAATATTTGCAAATGCCCAACTTGGAAATGCATATATCACAGTGACAGTACCAATCACGAGGAAAACTATGAAAGACAAGTCGGCGACAGCAAGGTTTACCACCAAAATAGTCGTTGGGTTTAACATTCTCCTATTCAAGAAAACAGTGAGGATAACGGATGCGTTTCCAACGATACCGGCAATGGACGTGAGAAACATTAATATTAGTACGACTAACCGTCCAATGTTCTTTAGGTCCCAACTGGATTGCGACATCGACAAAGTGTTAATCACATATTGGGATGTGTTCACAAAAGATACGGACGAATTGTAAGGATTCGGCGTGGTTCCGATTTCAGTCATCTCTAGAACGTCGATGTAATACTGTGGACAAAACAAAGACAACTATTACTATGGGTAAGGCAACGCTTGCGAATGTTAAACTTAGCCAGTTTGTGTATCAAACAACTTATTAGCGATAGTTTGAAAAATAAAATATGTAATACACATTGCGTCAATTTATTAGCGATATAACACTCTTCCTTTAAGAAATTTCAAAAAATGATAATCGTCATCCCTACTCTATCATCTACTAGGAAGTTTAAAAAATGTTATTCAAGTGAGATGTTTCCGTTGTTCCCGTTATCTCATTAACGAATTTGGGAAACTGCCAGTTCTCTTAACTACGACCTTTTTAGAGCACATTTAACTAATACAGCTATATGAGAATGCGGTAATCCATGTGAAGACTCATATCACTTCCTCTGTGTATGTGCCCTATACACTCAGCATCGTTATCTGTTAATTAGAGAGTTATAAACGTTTCGTGACGATTCAACTTTAGATTTACTCCTATATGACGATCCAAAATTCAGCAAAGAAGAAAATACCTTAATTGCAAAATCGGTTCAAACATTATATAAGCCAATGCAACCGGATTGACTGAATGTGATCATCTTTCTCTATCTCTCTTCTGTTCTCTGAATGTACCCGTCTTATTATGTCTTACTTCGTGTCCCTCCCCGTCTCTTCTTCCTCCCTTCTTTCTATTTCCATAAACAAATATGTTTTATATATATTGCATAAATTGCCGTATCGAGTTATTATTCATATCAATGATTTTGAAGAAAAGGACTTTGACAAGTTGCGCAAACTTTTGTCCAATTCTTTTGTAAATATTCCTTTGCATTAAAATATGTTAAAATCAAAATGAGTTTTGTTTCTTACTTAAGTCCCTGTGTGTTTTGGTGCTACAAAACGCATACGTTTTCACAACTATACGCTTTCAGTATATATAACAATAATTTAGTTTTTAATATAAATATATATTTTTTGGCACAACCATGTAAAGTCCACGAAATGGTATTATTTGAAATTCTTGTGGCAGCTTTAAATGTTGTTCTTAAACACTTTTAAATGTCTTCGATATGGTTTAGCCAACTGATTCTACTTAAACGATACAGATTTTTGATGTTCAGTCGAACTCGTTATCTCGAACCCTTTTAACTCGAAAATCCCGTTTATCTCGAAGTATTTATCCGGTCCCGGCCATGTCTCTTCTTTATCTTTGTAAATAAAACCTGTGATAGTTCGAACCCTGACCCTGAAAAGTCGAAAAACTCGAATACTTCGAATTATATATTGGTTTCAATAGCGTAAATCCAACATCAAAACATCATCTACTTCATAGTCTTCGAATTTCATTTTGTCACTTATTAATTCTTTGATACAAATAAAACGCAACAGTACGACATCTCGCCATTCCGTGTGTATGAACATCTTTCGCGAGTAGACTAAATCGGCAAAAAGAATTTACGATAAAGCTATAGACTATAAAATGTGCGGACTGACAAAACCATGTTGTTTATAATGAAAAACAAACTTCATTAATGTTGATCAACAGTATTCTGTACTTACTGCGAGTCCGTTTAATGATTTGTACACTCAAACAGACGACAGTGCAAACCGGAAAATTGGTCACAAATTATAGCGTGGTCATGCATAAAAGAGGTCCACAGTTAAAATCACAACCTCAGACAGCTTCATGGGTTCATGTTTTTACAGGAGCCAGTATGGCTTTGAAAGTCGATCGGGAGATTTAAGAACAATACGATAATTGCTGTCGATAACATCGAGTTGAGGAGGTGTCAGGTGTCACATTTAGCTTAATGAATTAATGTTTTACATGTACAATATAATATGTTTGGGTGTGTTTTGATTTACAGAATCAACTATGCGTACGCTCCATTTCAGTGATTTGTTTTAGACTTGCGCACTTTCATTTCCGAATTGTATAGTACGAGGACGAAGACAGCGGGATGGTTTGAGTTTTAAATGTAACAAGTTCTAGACTAGCCAAAAACAACATTAAATCACAAGGCCATCCATACTCAATAACGAATTCAAAATATAGTCCAACCGTTTTGATTGCGTTAATTTACTCTACAGTATTTTTGTAAGCGTATTTATTGTAAAATTACACACCTGTATTTGTTATATTGATTACGTATATTATTCATCGATTGATTATAAGCATAACCCACATAACTCGAACACTCGGATAACTCGAAGTTTTCCCACGACCCCGTCGACTTCAAATGTTTTTGTCTATGTGATAAGTACTAGATTTAAAATGAACGGGCTATCCATTTAAGGATCCCTGTCCCACAGCAGGCTGTTTTTGTCTCGTCGCCACGAAGTAACGGAAGCGAGACTAAGGTGTTGCTTTTCCGGCGACGCCGGCGTCAATATAAAGTTTTTGCATTGAGGTAAGTTTCACTGAAAGTATTAGTGCTGGGCCAACCAAACTTGGACCATAGATGCGTCCTAGGTTGTACATCTCAACCCATGCATCAAATGCTGGATGTGGCCTACCTTGACTTTGTCAGCATCTCCATCAACATTAAGTTTTTGCGTTTAAGTTAGTTCCTCTGAGACTATAAGTGCTAGACCAACCAAACTCGGCATGTGCATTGATGGTCAAAATAGGGCAAAGGCAAGGCCTTCCAATCCGAATGTCTTGTTTCTTATACATGTAACCTCTCCTAAAATTTGTTTTGAATATAACTGTAACACAGTTGGCCCTGTGTACCTCCGTTGACCATGACCTTGAAGCTAAGTTTGTTAAATAGTATAACAATCTGAGGTTCTGGGTTCGAACACCGAGCCCATATTCATGAAACCGTTCTCATTCTCAAGCATTGATTCTGTGCTCAAACCATCTTTCTTGTAACTTAGTTAAATAATGCCAAACGATAAAAAAGTCATATGTATACATTGACAACAGTATTCGGCTTTAAGTCTCTTCTTAGCAATCGACAAAACAAAATGATTTTTATTAATCATCACAGGAAAAAGAAATTCGTCTTGAGCGCAAAATCAATGCTTGAGCATGAGAACGGTTTCATGAATACGGGCCCCGGTCTAGTCCCGTCGTCGTTTTAAACTCGGAACACGGCACACTGTTGTTGATATTTATTTTTTTATTTCATCTTCATAATTTCTTATAAAAGTCCCGCAAGGTATGAGTTTCTGTTTAGAAATAATTTATCAAAGCTGTAGTAGCAAAACAAAATAAAATCTCCAACACTTCGTTACAGTCTTTTTTAAAGTGGTAGGGACTCTTTAAACACATTAAGCTGAGACATGATTTATTTATCTGTAAAACATATTTTTTTTTTTACATATTTAGGATACAACTTGTATCAATTTTAAATTGTCCAGTGACGTATTTTGTCAATGAAGATTGACGAAGTATGGCATTCACGTTAATCAAATAATTTCAAATAATATGTCTTAACTACAGATGCCGCATTACAAGAAACCAAAATTATAAGTAGTACTTACCCCAGTGTGTAAAAGTATACAGTTGACAAATGTGAACTTTTTTTTAAAATTATGTTTCTTTGTCTTCCTAGGCGCATTTGATGAAAAATTAGCAAATGTGCCATGTGTCATTGGAACACAAATTTATACCGGAAATATTTGGCGATTGTACATTGGAACGCAGGAAGTGCCTCAGTCAAGTATTCAGGAAATAGAAACAGGAGAAACCAGAAACCAGAAAAATGTATATATTTACAAATTTATTTACACTTACAAAATTAAATCAAAGGTCAAACATAGATCACAATACTCCGCAATACACTGATGTGGTTGCATACTAAATCTGGTTACGCCAGGTGAAATAGTATAGAAGATATACACTTCGACAAGGTTTTTTTTTAATGTTGAGATCAAAGGTCAAAACATTGGTCACAGTGACCTACTTTTTGTATCAGATACTCCGCCATCCCGAGATGTACGTGCATACCAAATTAAGTTACTCAAAGTGAAATAGTAAAGACCCTATGGTCAAGACAATCTTTTTTATATTGGATTAGGTGAAAGGTCACAACTATAGAGTATGTTAGATAACGTCAGTGAAGTTTCGTGACATTCGTCTAAAAACAGTAGGAGGAGATGTCCAAACAAAAGTGTGACAGATGGACGAACAGACGGACGGACAACCTGATTATAGTATATCCATTACTTCGTTGTTTGGGTATAATTAGCCTAAGGCCAGTTCACGGCGAACAATAAACAATTCGCGACGCTAGGAGATGATGATATTGGCCCAAACATACAAATTTTTAACCCAAATAATGAACCCAAGGATGGGACATATCTGTCCCACATAATTAACATATAGTGCAATTATTTTCTTGCATTGCTTACCATTTATTCCCCAGTCATAACAATCGTATGACGTTAATTACATCAACAATCCATAAGGTAATTTAAACATAATTTTATTGTCATACAACATAAATGAACAGACACAAATTATATCAAATTAGCATCACAATTCAATATACAAATTACAAAACAGCAATAGCAAGCATATTTATTAAAACCAAAATGGGGGAGGAAGGACGAAAGAAAGACAATAAAAGAACGAAAATTGACAGAAATTGGAAGAGAACAGCTAGCTAGTTGTATGTACTTTTTACCTTAATTCTGTCACTCCTTTTAAAGTAAGTTTGAAATTTATGGAAAACGTTTTCATTTTCCTCATCAGAAAAAATAGGATATCTGCAAACCAGATTACTGAAATATTGCAATAACGAGATATCATCAATAAAAATGTGTCTGTCCACTCTACAGTATAAATCAAACAAGATATATCTTTTAAGAAGATAATTGAAAAAAAATCATATATACAAATAATTGTGAACCTATAACATTGCTTAATGATGCCTATCACAATGTACTGTTGTTTTCCGTATATATACAACAATGTCCCCTTAATTTTGTTCTGGGAATAACTGAAGGACATTTCGGCCAGAATACTTCCATTGACCGGGTAGCTCAGTCGGTAAGAGCGATAGTTCGACAACCTATATAGCCCAGGGTTCGAATCCCGGTCTACCCCCGTATATTGTTTTACATTCGGAACACTGTCCCGCAAGATACATTTTTTTTCTTTTTCAGAAAAACGGTTTCAAATGCGTAGCTACAGTTTTTGTTGGCAACGGTACGGGGAACTAGTCTCGTTCACCCAGAATCTTGTTGTCTGCGCAAGCTACGCCGAACAGAGAAAGTGTCTGGTTGAACGAGACTACTAATGAACAGGCATTGAAGAACCATGCTTGTCGTTCAACGGGAGGTAACTCGAAACTTTTCAAACCATACGTGTGTATTAAGCCCTTTACCTGAAAGGTTCCGATATCATTTGTGTGTATTATGTGTGTATCAAGATTTTGTGTTCAAGCCCTATGTCTTGTGCCAGTGATAAATTAATAAGAAAATCATTTTGTGAATGTTATGTAAGATTTATTTAACTAACTTAATTCAGCCGAATACTGTTCAATGTATATATATATATGGCTTGTTTACTGTGTACATGCTTAAAGCGAGTTACAAGACAAGACAACAAAGTTATTGGTCGATAATTTGACATCAAATCGGTGGTTTTTCTCCGGGTACTCCAGCTTTCCTCCACCACCAAAACACGGCACGTCCTTACATAAATGACAATTGCTGTTAATAGGACGTAAGACACTAATAAACCACACCAAACCTTAAATTATCAAAGCTGTCAATAGGATATAAAACACAAACTAACTAAACCAATGGCAGATTTTTTGGAATTATTTTGAGTTTATTAACATATTGTAAAGACGTGCAAAAGTTTAGACATAGAAAGTGTTGTCCAGTTAAACTTGTGATAATTTATAGGTAAGGTAAGAATTTTTCCTAATTTGAGAAATTTTAAAATATCATGTCTCATTTCAACGCCACACAAAAGAATAAAATACAAAATCAACTATTGATACAAAAATAGGTAATGACCTTTTCTCACGAACCTCGAGGTATCCTCGAAACTCCAGGGGTTACGCTCACTTATATTCTCTGCATCATTTGCAATAAAGTTTCAAGTTCAAGTTTTTTATTTACTAAATGCAATACAGTATATAGGTTATACAATTACGTAACACATGATTCATATTAAAAATACAATATACAAGATGGCGGAGGATAATTCCTTATTCACATTTAACATATAAATTTACTGCCCTATCTGAACTTTACTTTTGGCTGTTGCTTGCAATAAATATTTGCCCAGCTTACTTATAGTTTTGACATTTTTATATGAGAATAATTCAACTTATAAACACATGGATGTCGATGATAATATCGTTTTAAATATATATTTCCTAATTCAGAATAATGTCATTTTCTGCATCATTATTGTAACGAACAGTACATATTCTTTGGCCTCTTAGGACGGCATTGTAACGTCCTGACTCAATATTAAGACAGTGTGCTTGCATACGATATCAGCTCAGTAATTGGTTGATGCTAGAATTAAGGGGTGTTGTTAATGGTTCTAACCAATTCTACATAAATTAGTTTTAACTTGATATTCCAGTTAAAGTGGCTCCACACATCGTCATCAGCGTCCATTTTTTTGTGACGTACTTCCGGAAAAAGTACAGCTCGGACTCAATTATCTTGATCGCAATGTGCATGTACACCGTGTCGTCATTTCCGTATTGCGTATCGGGCATCCAATATCGTAGTGCCAATTATAGTAACACAGGGCCGTTTTCGTTTTAACGGTCAAACCGATCGGACCACTGTTGTTCGTTTATTAAATAAGGTCGGACCTAGTAATCTGATGCTGCTTTCAGGCGAACCTTGAGAAAGCCTTGCAAGGCATGCATACACATTTAAAGGTCCGCCAGGATTTATACCCGAAATTGTTACATTTATAAACGGTCAAACCGGTTGTTTCGCATAAATGAACAGGCCCCTGATAAACGATAAGTTCACGTACGTGCCGATGATATGTTAACACCCGATATCGAGATTTTACCAGGAAATGAATAATCACAAGTACTTTCCAATTCATAGACATAAACAGACTCACGGGAAGACGGTGACATGAGACCAGACGACCTCAAGAAGGTCATATAAAGAAACACATGGAATGCGGAAGTACCAACCTCACATGTGCATATCACATGCTTACACGTGTTCATAAGCTCGAGGTCGTTACGATTTTCGCTGTTAAGCGAGTCTCGCTCTGTCGATTAAATCGTTTTTACAAATGTAGTCTACTTACTCTGTGAAAATAATGTTTTGTAAAATATCAAGATCCCTATGAAATGCATGTGTGAGTGCACGTGAGAACGGCATACCATGCGATAGCCTCTGGTCACATACGTCCTTGACATGTAATTATAAATATACCGTGAGTTAGCGGACTGTGGAATGATGTCCAAAGTGTACATGACTGAGAGTAATTTGTTTTCATTAAAGAACAATAAATTGATAATTTTGATATCATATTTTTGATTTATTTCATCATTTTTGTTATATGTAAACAGACAACTGTCATTGTATAAATTTCATCCCTCTGCAAAAAGTTCCAATTTTTTTCAAGGAAGATAACTCTCACCCGGATCAAAGTGATTGTAAAATGTAAAATAAATAAATTATCAAGCCATTGTGTATATTTTGTTCAATTTCCCACTCTATACGTATAGATCTTTGTTTTCTGTTTGCTTGTAGATAATCACTTTTATCCGTACAAATTCAATAAAATACACTGTGTGTAACATGTGTTACATATTTTGCGATAAATAAAATATTTGTAGGATTAATTAGAAATGCTTCTTTTCATTTTTTCTATTGTTGTTATTGTTCCGAACAATGCCACACACAAAAAAAAACCGGAAAATATCAAAATTGACGAAAATTCAATTTTTTGTTTTTTTTCCAAAAAAGGCCCCAAACTATTGGAATGTTTAAATTTTCATAAAATCAACTCTACATAGTTGCATAACCATTATATGAAGGTTTCAACGAATTTTGCTGGCTAATTGCGAAAGTGTGGAGCCACCTTAAATATACAATTTGGCTTTCTGATATTTGATCAAATAAAGCATCATAACATGATTTTAATACACAAGTATTTGTTTTTATCAACTTTAACCAATATTTCATTATAGTTATTTTACGCTGTACATGTTATGAATATCTGCCCGTTTCAAAAAATACCATTCAGTACTTCTTTCAGAAAAAGATGCTGGATAATGACCACATACCTCACAAATATAATTAAGTATACTTGTCACATACGTGTCAAATAGTTACATTTTGGTTTCAGTATTAAGCATATAATTCTTAATTCTATACTTCAAAAAATAATAAACTTTCCTTTTTCTGAATTGCTAAAGTATTCTGAGCCACCGTAAATTTTCCGTTATAATTAAATACTAATCCTCAATAACAAAACTGATCTACGACCTCTACCACAGTATGACAATCACACCTACTGTATCTACCAAGTAAAAAGAGAACGCGCTATTGTTCTGAAAACATTACAATCGCGTAATGACTCCCTGCAGTTTAAACAGGAGCGTAATCATTGTTGTTGTTTAAAGCTTCAGGTGCATTCGGTAAAACATTACAAGTCATTTTATTATTGGAAAGTGTTGAGGAAAATTAATCGATCTCGTGTGTTGCAGACAGAGACATTTTAACCCTTAGGGACAAAAAGTTGATATTTTTCTGTCTTACTCAAACAGGAGTTGTACATCTAGATTCTATTGATCCTTAATAGGATATAAATAAACTATTTTACAACATTCATATTTACCGTGTCAGTGTTAAATATTCGTATACATTTTAATTTCTAGACGTTAATTCACCAGTCGGTACAAATTTATTAAATGTATAAAAACGGATATATTTACAAATAAACTGGTAATCATATTATTTAATAGTCTTGTTTATTACACGTGTATGTGTGATCAGTAGAATTTAGTTTTGATCTACACTTACGACTTCAATCACTTAAAAACCTTTTACTGTATGTCGGAAAACTTTCGCCCAGTCAAACTTTCGCCCAGTCAAACTTTCGCCCTTCGCTTTTCGCCCAGTGTTAATTTCGCCCTTCACATTTAATTTCTAAATTTACTTATAATCGCTGTAACAATCAATTCGCCCTCATGACGGAGGGCGAAAAAGGCGAAAACGAAACTGCTGCAAAAAATCTCCGGTATACAATATTTATGTCTGAATCTAATTACAGTTGTGGGGTCGCACAATATGTGTTTTTAAGATAAAATGCCACTTGCCTGACATCTGATATAATCTCCGTATCCCCTCTAATGTTAGGGAATCTATGAATGAACCTATATTAACCATTTTAAGACCCCCTTCACCATAATTTTGAACTATAACATCCCTTTTTTATTTTATCAGTTTTACCATTCCATAAAAAGTTGAAGAGAATATTATTTAATTGATTCAGAAAATGATCATCAGGATTAGGCAATGTAATAAATAAATGGTTAAATTGTGATATCATTAAAGATTTTATCAGATGGATTCTACATATAGGAGTAAGTGATCTTCTGTTCCATGTCTGGATAATTTGTTTAAGTTTAATCAACTTTTTATCAAAATTCAATTTTTGAATTTCATAAATATTGACACTTAATTCTATTTCCAGAAGCATGGATTTTGTCGTCCTTCCCCACTTCATGTTTAGATCAGGTAAAAATGTATCTTCACTTTGTATTTTTCTTCCTATCCATGCCACCTGAGTTTTTTCTATATTTAAATTTCAAACCAGATATTTTAACTAAAGCATTCAAATATTCTATAGACTCTTTAAAAGACCTTTCTGGAGCATCTGAAATGAGAGAAGTATCATCAGCATATTGAGAAATAAGAATTGGACTATTATTTACTTCTATACCCTTAATCTTTTGGTTATTTCTAAGTATTATGCCTACTATTTCAACACACACACAAAAATAAAGGGGGCTATTGGATCACTTTGGCGATAGCCGCTTTTTCTGTTTAGGAATGATGAAAGGTTACCGCCTTGGTTTATAGTTGAACTAACAATGGTGTATAGAAGTCTTACCCAACATCTAATTTCAGAACCAAAATTAAAATAATTAAAACTTTATGAACAATTTTCAATGAGACTGAGTCAAATGCTGTCTCAAAATCTACCATTAATGACATACCTGGAATATATCTTTCTCCCTTTCCCCCCTATATAACGGCCTGAAAGAAATCCTGTTTGAACTTCACTTATTAATTTATCCAAAACTGTTCTAATTCTACCTGCTATCTGTCCGGACGCTATTTTATAGACTATATTCAATAATGTTATGGGTCCCCAATTCTTTTATAAACTGCCTAGATTTATCGTCCTTGGGGATACATGTACATAATATTATAATACCTTGCCTTTACGTTATCGATAACAAACCTGTCCTATACCCACTGTTTATAGATCTAACAATGATTCCCCTAGCTGTTTACAGAAACCCTTAAAAAATTCCACAGCAAACCCATCAGAACCAGGACTTTTGTTATTTTCCATATTTTTTGCTGCTTCTTCTAAAGTAATCAACCCTTCTAAACGAACAGAATCGTTATCATCTAAACATCACATGAGTTAAGAAAAAGTGCTAAATCTATATCATCAATATCATCATTATCATCATATAATTTTTCATAAAAATACCCTTCTAAAATTGTATCCTGTTGTGTAATGATAACATTATCATCTTTCTGTATCTTTGGTTTATTCTTGAAAGTAAAAATTCCTATTTTCTAAATTGAACAAAAAAAATTGTTGGCGTTTCTCCTTCCTCTTGCCATCTTGCCCTTATTATGCTACCTCTTACTTTCCTCAATGTTATATTTTTCCATTTCCCTCTTTTTATTTCTAAATCTTCTATGTCTACATGTTCCTACTCTTCAATAGTTTACATTATTTTCTACAGATCATCTTCCTTCCTACCTTTGTCTTTCTTTCTATACGATGAATATCAAATACTTTTACCTCTAATTTCCACTAATGATGTTTCAAGAAAATGCTGGTCATCAATTACAAATTCTATTTCTGTATCTGGTATATTCATTATAGCATTGCGATTATACACTGACAAAGAGTACTGAGCTTTTGTTTCTAAGATAATTGTTTTCACCATTGAAGATATTCTTCCTCATATACAAGAGATGAATTAAATTTCCACAATCCCTTTCCCCGCTTGAATTCATTAAATTTTAAAACAATTATAGGGAATGAGTGGTCAGACCTGTAACCTGACTCAAAAACTGACTTATGAATACCAGATAACAAATTATCTGAAATGAGAACAAAATCTAAATGAGCCTGTTTTAATGGGTTCTTCTTTCTCCACGTATATCTTTTACTTTCTTGATGCAACTCTCTAAAAATATCAACCATTGAATGGTTTTCCATAATTTCAATAATATTTTTTCTTGCCTTTTTATTATTAATATTTTTACAGATTTTGTCATAATCTAACTCGGGGTCTAATACTAAATTGAAATCTCCTTATATGATAAATGTCAAAGTCGTTAATTGTACCAGTTAAAATATCAAACCAATTAGGTGTGTTTGTGTTTGAGCCATATAGCTTAATTAAATTAACATGTAAACACTCTTATTCAATATTGAGGGCCAGACAATTTCCTGACAGTTCTTACCCTTTCATTTTCACCTTCATTTCAAAATTATTATTTATAAGAATAGATACCCCCTGGCATTGGACTTGAAGAAATTAAAATAACAGTCGAACCCCAATTCATTTCTGTTAATAATTTGGCTCTCTTTAGTTAAATATGTGTCCTGTAGGCAATAAATACAGTAATTTTTCGATTTTAGGTATGATAATTTTGTCCCCGAGACCCTGACAATTAGCAGAAAGAAAAGGTATACCATCCATCATGTTACATTACCACTTACCATAAATATGTATGCATAAACTAGCCCAGATAAGAAAAGGAGAAGTAGCGAGATATAGCACAGCAGAAGAAAAAGGTTAAAAAACATGTCAAAATGGTCAAAAGTCGCAGACAACTGTTAACTCACGCACCTCTCATCCTTCTTTCAAAGTACCGTTTCCAAAACCAGTCAGGCGGAAGTGAAAAACAACCGGAAGTAGTACAGTAACATACTAAGCTAGACACTTGATTCTCAGGATTTTGAATAGAATATACTTAGAAAACGATCAGATACCAGTCCGGAATGCTTCACATTATGAAAAAAAGTTATATGAAATTATTTATATGTATTCCAACGAATATGACATGAAACGTAAACTTTATGATATCAACAACAACAACAAATTGACTCAAAGATTCTTGAAATGACAGTACAGGGAAATAAAAACGTTAATCGTCTTAAGTGCAGCGTAACAATATCATACAAAACTTAACAGAATACATTTTAAAAGGAATTATCCGCAGCATACCCTCCAAATTCAAAGACGTATCACTGACATATCGTGAACACACTTCAAAACCATACTGATCGGTAGAACCAGAGGAGTCCATCTCTGGCGGCCACACGTATACATGTACGCGAGCCTATAGTCAGATACCGATCTCGCACTCAAATATAACACTTGTCACACAGTTCCATAAAATCTGTCTCTTAGTTTCTTAAATTGTTGTCATCTGAAAGATACTGATCTATCAGCTCTGTATCGTATGACAGTCTTCGCTTTTTTCGTTGGTTAAAACTGTGAATAATTGTCCGTCCATGTAAGTATGTTTAACGCTTTTAAGTCTGTACGCTTCATTAAGTGTTTCTTGATTCATTCTTGTCAAATCCTCGAAGACGATTTGTCTTTTTCTCTTCAATTAACGTCTGTTATTGAGGATCTTGGCCTCCTCCTCCTGTGGGTCATTTTACAGATGATCGTCCGTGGTATGCTTCTGTCAAATCGCCCGAGTCTATGTGCAATGTCTACGTCGTTGCTCTTTACTTCCCCCTCCAGCAAATCCCCCACAAATGTCACTATTTGTTCTACACATTCTTCGACTGTTTCTTTCCCCCTTTTTACCGCTAAGGCCTACAATCCTGTTGGAGTTTTTCCTGCCTTGCTGTTCCAAATCGTTCACTTTGTACACTAGCCCTATATTCATACTGTCAGATTCTCTGGCTCGCTCTTCCAATTTGTCCACTTTCTCTTTCAACATGTCGTTCTTTTTCTCGAGTTCGAAACTTCTTCCTTCGAGCTGATCGACGAGAACACGGATGTTCTTTTTTTTGCATAACACAGTTCTTCGAAAACTTCTACGGAAGTTTGTAGAAAGGAAAGCATACACAATTGGGTTGGCGCAACTGTTTATGACTAACAGGATGGACGACAGCGTATCTATGAAGTACGTGAAATCATTGCCAGATGCAGAAAACAGTCCGACAACATAAGTTGGTAAGCAACACACTGCAAAAATGATGGTAACGATGAGCAACATTCTGGTGACGCGTTTCTTCATCCTCGTGTTTTGCCTCCCGCAAGGACTAACTCCACAACGGAGCGTCTTGATAACTTTAACGTAAAGCGTACACATGACTGTTAGTGGTATAACAAATAAGAAAACAAATTCAATTACATGGTATATCAGAGCTGCGACATAATCGCCGTAGTAGATATTTATATCAACACAGTTAAATATATCATATATGCCGACTTGGGAATATATAAATATGACAGGAATGTTGATTAGAAGCGTTATAATCCAAGATAGACAGACACAAATATATGCTTAACGTTTATTTCTGATCGTCCTGGATTTGATCGGATATACGACGACAAGATATCTGTCCACAGATATCAGCACGAGAGTGATGACGCTCACAGACAAGTTCACAAAAACGATATAGTATTTCGTTTTACACCAAATATCTACAAATGCCCAATTTTGAAATTCATATATGCATATCATAATGACAAAATGAATCACGGGGAAGACTATGAAAGACAAGTCGGCGACAGCAAGGTTTACCACCAAAATAGTCGTTGGGTTTAACATTCTCCTATTCAAGAAAACAGTGAGGATAACGGATGCGTTTCCAACAACACCGACAATGAACGCGAGAAACTTTAATATAAGGACTAACAGTGCAGTGGTGTCGAGGTCCGACATCGAAAAAGTTGTGTTTGCAAATTGGGATGTGTTCACAAAAGATGCGGACGAATTGTCAGGACTCGGCGTGGTTCCGATTTCAGTCATCTCGGGAAAGTCGATATGATACTGTTGACAAAACAAAGACAAGAATTACTATAGATAAGTCAAAACTTGCGAATTTTAAATTTTCGCCAGTTTGTGTATCAAACAATATATTAGCGATAGTTTGAATTCCATTTAGCAACAGTAAAATATGTAAAACACATTGTGTCAATTTGTTAGCGATATTGTTGAAATTTATGATGTAATCATTGCTTGATTGATGTGAATGATAAGGATAGAAAAAGTTGACGAGGAAACTTGTTGAAAGGGGATTATGATAATGATGATGATGATGATGATGATGATGATGAAGATGATGATGATGATGATGATGATGATGATGATGATGCTGATAATGGATAATGATGATGATGATGATGATGAAGATGAAAGTTGATTGAAGAGTATTATGATGTGATCAATGATTGATATTGATGTGAATGATGAAGGTTATATGACATTGATGATGATGATGATGATGATGGTGATGATGATGATGATGATGATGATGATGCTGATAATGGATAATGATGATCATGATGATCATGATGATGAAGATGAAAGATGATTAAAGAGTATTATGATGTGATCAATGATTGATATTGATGTGAATGATGAAGGTTATATGACATTGATGATGATGATGATGATGATGGATAATGATGATGATGATGATGATGATGATGATGATGATGATGATGATGATGATGATGATGATGATGATGATGATGATGATGAAGATGAAAGATGATTAAAGAGTATTATGATGTGATCAATGATTTATATTGATGTGAATGATGAAGGTTATATGACATTGATGATGTTGTTGATGATGACGATGATGATGATGATGATGTTGATGATGATGATGATGATGAGGATGATGATGATGATGGAGGATGATGATGATGATGATGATGATGATGATGACTGATGGCCATGGTTTTATGATGAGAAATATGAACAGATATATATATAGATGCTAATGATGAAGATGAAGAATATATGAAGATGGTGTTTATTATGATATTGGAAGTTTATGATGGTGTTGATTGCTTTAATGCTGATGATTTATTTGGAAAAAATGCTGATTGATATTGAGGTGAATGATGAATGTGATATGACATTGATGATGATTATGATGATGATGATGATGATGATGATGATGACTGATGGCCATGGTTTTATGATGAGAAATATGAACAGATATATATATATATAGATGCTAATGATGAAGATGAAGAATAGATGAAGATGGTGTTTATTATTATATTGGAAGTTTATGATGGTGTTGATTGCTTTAATGCTGATGATTTATTTGGAAAAATAAAACAATTACAAAAAGAAAAATGTTAGCGATAAAACATACGCAATATGATAATGTTCATCCTTATTTTTTATCTGCTAGGAGGTTTAAAAATATTTTTTTCTAAGTTTGGTGTTTCCTTGGTTCCTTTTGTTATCTTTTTTTGACTGATGTCTGATTTTGGTCCTTTTGTGTTGATGTTACAATACGTTTTCGCTATTTTGTAATGTCACAAATGTACGCTAACAATAAATAACAATAGTTTAGCTTTGGTTTTTCCTTCAATGCTAGATTTTTTAGGGTTATATCGTTTAACATAATGAAATAGACAACACAAAAGTGATGACGTTGTATACTGCAATGTTTAGTGCGGTATTTGTAATTCTAACTTCTGATTGGTTGATGTTGCTCAGCTGTGAAATTACTACGCAATGTTGTGTTTTGTGCTTTTTTAAAATTTTAAATTAGATATTGTTAAATTATTCATCTCTTATGCACCGATTTCGTTTTTCGCCAAAATCATTCAAATTTTGCAAACAGCTAGAGAATAATCTACTGGTTTTATATTTTATATTAATCTAACTTTCCTTTTCTTTGAATTCTTATCATTTTATAGACCAAAACAATTTTAACGTAAAATTTGAAGTTGTGTGTGAGTGTGTATTTTGTCAATGTAAAGCTTTTATACTAGGGTGAAAAGTGATATCTCAATAACAAAGCCATGGATAATGATATAAATATTACCGATGATTTGTGATATTGACTAATTGTTACTATTTTTAGAAACAGCAGGTTAATATTAACTTGATGACGACATTTAAATTATAACGTCACAATGCTCTCTGACAAATGCGGCACTTTCCTCTGTACAATTTGCATAAGTCCCATCTTGTTAAATTATCAAAACATTACTTATCCTCTAATTTAACAACTAAGGACTTTTATTTCATTGCATATTATTCAATTATAGCCTTTGGCTGAGGTCGATACCTGGATTTATCGACCCGAGAAAAGATATATAGACCGAGGACGCAGTCCGAGGTCTATATATATTTTCTCGGGTCGATAAATCCAGGTATTAACCGAAGTTAAAGGCTACAATTGTTTTATTATTTTACAAAACAGAAATGTAAGCAATCTGAAAAAAAGGCTTCGGAAGTGGGACGGTGCATTGTTTGGAGACACGTCATAATTCTATATTAAGAAACATCCAGTCCTTCAACAAAAAGCACGCGCTCCAAGTCAATATCGGTTTTTATCGGTGGACACGTGATGCACTTCTGGCCAATCACTTGTCGGGAATAATATGAAAAAATAATGGTTATATGCATGCACCTGAGAAAGTGATATTGACCGAGATGAAGTCGAGATCCAAACACCCAAACATTCACCTCAACAAAAGTCCATAATTGATGAATATGATACACGCAATGAGTACAAACAAAATCTGTGTATGATGCTGCGATAAGAGTAATAAATCAAGAACATATGTGTTTGGTACTATATTTTATATTGTCATTTTCCTCGATAGCAGAAACTAACAACTCAATAGACAGGTCGCATGCATTTCCCATAATTGAGTCATATTTTCATATCCCGGATTTCACGAACAAATACACGAGACACAGGACACGCAAACTTCGCGAAAGTCATATCTTCTCACCCAGGATCACGAAATAATTCAATAGACATGACGCAAACAATTTTCTTACATCCTGTTTTCTGATGTGAACTGCTTTGAGACGACCTACGAACTAGGTTGTGGTAGAGCGGCATACAAGAACCTCGAATTATTATCGAATTATTATTATATATTTTATATGATCATGTATGAAATCCTGTAGAAAATCCTTTGTTTTCCTACTTTTTACTTTGTTATCACTGTTTAGTCCTGAAAAGAAAAAATGGCCATATAACGTTATTGATGTTCGCCTTTCACACCAGTCGATATGAAATTGATGACTTCATTTTTCTTTAATTAAGAAGATATATGCTTTCATTTATGTTGTATGGACGTCTTTCTTTTATTTATAATCATGATAATTACCGTGCGTTATTATTCCGTGATCACTAACCCGGTTTTCGCTTTGAGGACGTGAGATGATTTCCAGAGTTATCCATGTAAATATTGCCTTTGTTCAAATTTTGACTTAGTTTGATCGACTTTGAGCTCGAAATACAGCTTTATTAACATTTTCGGTGTTTATTGGGGGATCTTAGTGGAGTTTTACTTTTTTCGTTAATCACTCATTAGGTTTTAGCAGTACAATACATTCGTTATTAAGGTTTTATTTAATTGTTGAATGCTAGCTGTGAGCACCGAAATGGCAGCACCGGTTGTATGTTCCCCAGGGAGATGAGAAAGATATTGTCTGGTTGCAGAGGCCCTATCCCACGGATAATAATTTGTGAACCGCTTTGAGACGACCTACGAACTAGGTTGTGATAAAGCGGTATATGAAAACCTCGAATTATTATTTCTGATAAAAAAACAACATACCTTCCGGAATTTTTATGAAAATATAAATAAAGGTAAAATAAACAAAATATGACTAACAACTGTGTAACTGTGTTATGAGTGTAAAAATACGAATACGGGCCCCGGTCTAGTCCCGTCGTCGTTTTACACTCGAAACACTGTTGGTGATATCTTTTTATTTATTTCATCTTCATAATTTCTTAAAAAAGTCCAGCGAGGTATATTTCTTTTCTTTTAGAAATATTTTTTTAAAGCTATTGTAGCAAAAAAGTATTCTCGAACGCTTATTTACAGTCTTTTTTAAAGTGGTAGCGATCGAGCCCTTAAACACATTAAGTTAAGACGTGATTTATTTAACGGTAAAACTATTTTTTACATATTCAGGATAAAAAATCAATCAATTTTAAATTGTCCAGTGACGCATTTTGTCGATGAAGATTGATGAAATATGGCATATATATGTTACTCAAACCATTCCAAATAATATGTCTTCACTACAGATGCCGCTTTACAAGAAACCAACATGTTAAGTAGTACTTACCCCAGTGTGTAAAAGTATACAGTTGACAAATGTGAACTATTTTTTAAATTATGTTTCCATGTATGCATTCCCTCTTCCCAGGCACATTTGATGAAAAATTAGCAAATGTACCCTGTGTCATCGGTACATAAAATACCGGAAATATGGGGCGTGCACGGAGTGCATACAATTCACCAAATATAGTAGCTGTATCATGCATGTACATGTACACTGCAGGACTTCCGATACTTACATTTAAACAACAAACAGACTTTCTCGACTTTTTATTACAATTCAGACGGATGTCGAAACCCACAGGGACCTGAGAATTTAGTATAGCTATAGTTGGACTTAAACTAATGTGTTTAAAGTAATTTTACATTTAACAGTCGTTTTTTTTTATGTTTTTGAATTTTTGACATATTTTGGACATCTGCAGGGTAAAGTTTGGGGTAAAGTTTCGTCATAGCTGACCGTTCACTAAATAATAATGTTAGGATGCTGATTCTATGTACAGAGGTTCTTTAGGGGTCTAGCATTCATGTTTAGTAACAGTGGGACAATATTTTTTTCCTTTTTGATTTTTGACATGTGTTGGACTGAACTATCTTGGCCAAAACCTGCAGGTTTAAGTTTGGGTTAAAGTTTAGTAATGGTTCACCGTTCACTTATTAATAATAATATGCAGAGAACATAGGATTTGATCATAGAAAAATCACTCTGTGCTTGCCCAGGACAAATGCCCAAGTCGAGGCATTTAATAAACCTTTGATGAAAACTTTGAAAGCCTCTCACCTGGAACCTATAAACTGGAAGCAGGACATGCAGAGATTCCTCCGCCGGTACAGAGCGACACCACATACCACACCAATGGACTATCTTTACGTTAGCTTTTGTTTTCCCGAGAACCTAGCACCAAGTTGCCCAATGTTCTAATGTCCCACTGCACACAAACTATAAACCTGAGAATGTGGTAACAAAGGAAATCTTGCACAACAATGACGTCTTCGGAAAGTCTAAAATGAAATATCTGCAGGATAAGATGAATAAAGCTTCACACTCGTCTGGGAATGCTATGTGGCCAGGAGACAGTACAATTCTAAAATCCGAGGTGAAAGGAAAACTAACGCCTAAGTGTGACCCATTCCCATAACAAGTAATTGGAAAAAAGGCTCTATGATCACTGCAAAACGAGGCGACAAAAGAACAAAGAGAAATTCCTCAAGATTCAAAAGGACAAATTTTGACATTCCAGACAACACTGCAGACATGGAAGATGAATATGAAGTACAAATACCCGAGATAGAGTCATCAACCACAGAGACAGTGGTAGATACACAGAATCCTAGGATATCAGAGAGAAAACGGAAAGAACCAACATTCCTGAAAGATTATGTGCACTAATAGGTGCAAGCAAGTTAAAAAAGACAAATTTAAAAGTTCATGGGCGGATTGGTCGAATGGTTGACACTCCGGGCTTCCACGCAGGCGGCCGGGGATCGATCTCCGAAGTCGTCGTACGCAAGGATATTCATAGAAAGTGTTTTTCTCCTGCCCACACAACTCCAACAACCCAGGTGGAATATAAATTGGTCTGGGGTGGATGTTGCGGTATCTGTGGTGTATCATTCACGTGAGGTGGCACTATAAATGATGCCGTTGGAAGCACGGTCTCACTACTTCCTGATAGATAGCTTTACTTTACAATTTTGTCTAACAAAGTCTATTCCAGATGCGTATGTTAAACTTATTTCGAAATTACGACTTTCATCGCATCAGTTATATGTAGAAGAAGGTCGGTATCGTAATATTCCGAGGGCGAGAAGGTTATGTCGTTATTGTAATCAAAACCAGGTAGAGGACGCGTTCTATTATGTTCTGATTTGTTCACTCCATGTTGGTATTCGTGAAAAGTTCATTAAAAAGTATTACTGGAGCCGTCCATCTTCGTATAAGCTTGTCCTGCTGCTATCTGTACGTAACATAAAAGAGCTGTGTAATCTAGGAAAGTATCTGCAATCAAGTTTGTTAGAACGGTCTAGATTCCAACCTTAGGTTATTGTGTTTTCTCTCACTCTGATTGATAACATACGAGTACTTGTTTATCTCCAGGTTTACAAATATTGCTTTGTCCATCCCCTGACTACACCACTGTATACAAATTGTAAGCCTGTTTTTTGTTTTTGTAATTAACATATTTGCTTAGAAAATGTTGTCACCTCATCTGTTTGTCGGTAGTCACGGTACACTAAGGTAAGGTAATTATACAAGAGCTGTCCATCTATAGTAATTTAAAGCAGTATACAGTCCATTTATAGGTACTATATATATATGTATCAAATATACGTTGTTGTGTATGCTTATGAGCTGTAAGGCTTCTCCAACACACACGCAGGCGTACACACATAGGGAGGTACTAGCTAGGTGGCATAGGACTAGTAGTAAACGCCTTATAAGGCAGCTCCTGAGAATTACTCAAAAAATGTATTGATTTATGTATATGCTAATTGTATTAATTGTATATCTATGTACTGTAAAGCGCTTTAGAGTGGCTTATGTTAGCTGGATAGGGCACTATAGCAAATGCAGTATATTCTATATTACTATTAAATTGGTGCTAACAAGGGGATACTAATCCCTTCAACGTACACAGGTTACATGAACCTGTTTTATAGTTCAGACTTGTTATTTGAGTTTGTTGATGTGAACGTTTTGAGTACGTGTCATTTTACGATATATCTAGTAAAACATTCTAGTCAATGAAACAGTATTTGATTCCATTCATGTTCTAGTCAAACGTTTCAGTAACTCATTCAGGACTGTGTGATTAATTGCTGTTTAATTCAAAATTAATGATTATGTACAACTTATACTAAAGCTAACGCTATATTCTAAAAATTTATATATGGAAGGATGTAATATCCTACATTATAAATCAGTAACACCATGATTCCGGAAATTATGTCCGTCATTTGGTGATTATGTTATAAACAGCGGAAGTGGTCACTATTAAAATACCCGCCATAAAAGCAGCATGGTTTGTTCTGTTATTCCAGGAAACACAGACATTACACGGTCAACGACATTTCTTTGATGTAAAGTATGCGGATTAGATATAAACTTTATATATTTCACAACAATTATCAAACAAGAAATTCAAGTTATATAAATCACTGGTGTTGACCCGGATGTAAGCACGCATGAGGTCTTAATGTGGGATTAAATTATATTGCAGACGAATTTCACGTAGTATGTATCACGGAATCCCACTTAGACAACAGTATATCTGACGAAGAAATAGCACTTCCAGGTTTTAATAATAATCCTTTCCGGAAAGACCGTGAATACTCACAGGGTGGGGGTGTCGTTGTTTATATTTCGCCTTTAATTTCTGCCCAGCGGCGTTTGGATTTAGAATTTCCATCAGGTGAGGCCATCTGGGTCGAAATTATTTTTAATAACTCCTCGTATCTTCTATGTACAGTATATAGACCAAATGACTGTGTAAATCCATTTTGGGAACAATTTGAAAACTCCATTGAAAATGCACTTGATGAAAACCCACATGTCATTATAGTTGGTGACATAAACGTTGACCTACTGGTTGAGACTCGTCATAAACTGAACGACATTATCCGCACGTATCTGTTTTCTAATGTAATAAACCAACCAACTCGGGTAGGCCAAACACGTGCTTCGCTCCTTGACCCCGTGCTCGTGAGCGATACATGCGTTGTTGGTTTTTCCGATGTTATTGAAATTGACAGGGACATTTCGGACCATGACGCTACTCTCGTTGAAATTAAACTAAACATTTTTCTTACTAACAAATTTAAACGCATGATTTGGTGTTATAAAAATGCTGACTATCCTAAATTTAATAACCTGTTACAAAACACCGATTGGCAATACGTATTTAGAAATGCTTACACATGCGACGATATGTGTTCGATTTTTACAGATAAGTATTTGGAATATGCTCATCTTTGTATTCCAACTAAGGTTATTACTGTTAGACCAAATGATAAACCGTGGTTTACTACTGAACTACGTCGTGAAATTAGAATTAGAAATAGATTGCATAAAAAATTAAAAAGAGTTTTTTCTATAGAGAATTTAGCTAAATTTAAAAAACATAGAAATCATGTCAACAATCTCAAACGTAGAACAAGAGAACTTTTTTATGCTGATATTAATGGACTTTTAGATAACTATGCAAAAACTAATCAAAAGAATTTTTGGAAACTGGTTCGGAGATTAACTAAAAGTGCAGATGTATCTTACATTATACCTCCTCTAAAAGACCCTATTACTAATTCTACTGCAGTAGATGATGAACGAAAAGCTAATATTTTAAATGACTATTTTGTGTCTATCTCTACTATAGACGACTCAGGTGTACCTTTACCACAAGTTGATATGAGAACCCAAAGTCGCATAGATAATATATTTTTTACACAAGCTGATATTGTTGACATCCTTAAGTCTCTTAAATTAGGTAAAGCTGTTGGATATGATAAAATTAGTCACCAAATGCTTAAAAACACAGCTCTTTATGTTTCATTTCCGCTATTTCTTATATTCAGAAAGTCTCTTGATCAAGGAATTTATCCCAATTCCTGGAAAAAAGCTTTAGTCATGCCCATTTTTAAGAAAGGCGATAAACAATGCCCCAGTAATTATAGACCAATAGCTTTATTAAGCACTGTAGGGAAAGTTTTTGAAAAAGTTATTACAAAATTTCTGCATAATTATTTATTAGAAAATTCATTGTTATATAAATACCAATCTGGATTTCAGCCAGGTCACTCAACAGTACATCAACTAATTGAAATTTATCATAATGTATGCATAAATCTAGAAAACCGTCATCATACCTGTCTTGTTTTTTGCGACATTTCCAAAGCTTTTGATCGGGTTTGGCATGCAGGTCTTGTACACAAATTAAAAAGCTATGGAATAAATGGAAATCTTTTAGACTGGCTATCCGATTATGTACAGAATCGCCATCAACAAGTCTTCATCCACAATGTTACTTCTCATACTAAAACAACTAATGCTGGTGTACCCCAGGGCTCTGTCTTAGGTCCGCTTCTTTT